CACGGTTTACCACATTAGCTTGTGATTTCTTTAATATATTGAAAAGAATATCCATAGGCTTCACCTGAAGCCGACATCAAATTTAAATATCTGGTGTTCATGTTTGAAGCCGGAGGGTATCCATGACGTCATACAGGTTCACAAGAAGAGAACAACGTTTCGGCAAATTTTCTATTTATCAAATATTTCAACAAAATTAATAAAGCTGTATCATGTCTTAAATTGAATGCTTTATGTTTTTACATGATAATGAGGCAAATCTTTTCCTTATATAGGAACGGCATAGAATTCACAACACATAAATCAGGATATTTACCAGCTATTTGTTTGAAAGTTTTTATTATTTGGCATTCAAAATCAAAACTGATGAAGGCTTTTCAAAAACACGTGTTGCGTGCACTAAAAATGTTTCGAGACTTTGATATGAGCAGTTAGTATCACTTTGTACCTAGAAGTTGGTAATTCGGTTTTGTCGCAATGTTAAAATTATGCATTACATTTGTTTATATTTTCCAATTGTTTTAAGAAAATGTTGAAAATAGGGTTGATATTTGACGATTTTTACTGTTTAGACCCATCCCGATTTCAACTTTTAGACGTTTCATTTTCACTTTCCAAACCTTGGTCATGTGCACATCCAAGGAAATATGTGTTATACACACGGAAATCTTTTATACTTTTTATCAATCAAACCTAGGCTCATATACATTCTGTGCATGTATTCTACTGAAGTATACAGTTTTGAGGTTTCTATCTCTCCATGGTTTTGTTTGGGTTTATAACATGGTCAATCCTTAGCTTTGAAGTCTACAGAAACTTGTTTATCTGAGAACGATCGTCTATAAATGTAAGCTGCAATTGTGTAACACATGCTTTTTATTCGGGAACAAACAGATGCTCTACATATTGTCAGTTTGGCAGCACTGCCTTTTGGGACAATAATACCCGACGAGACTAACAGTCCACAAGCCGATGTATCCACCTAGTACTGGTAAATAAAAATGAATCTTTATAAATGGTGTGCGTCAGAAGAACTTTCCCGGATGTACCTTACACATGAACAATAAAAACGAAACAAATTGAAACAGACGATGTGTCAATCTGCTTTAAAAACAGATCATGTGTCCACAGTAATTGTTATTGACACATGTTTATCATAAGCGAACCTTCACTACTAGTTTTTGAAAATAAAACCATCTTTTTGACATGAGGATATAATCAATGTACTAAAATGCAGTTCTAGACTCGTTTCATCAGTTTTGATTAAGTGCGGGACATAAAACATTCACACAAATATTCTGGCTCCGTACCATCATTTTAGATACATTTTGAAAATAAAGTTTTTAATTATTGTGAAATGTCTTTTTAACTTTTATTTTCCATCATCTGTTATCTCCTTGTTTATTCATTTGAAAGTCGTAAATTAAGAACAATAACACCTCATTCAGAAAACAATAAACAATTATTCTGACATAAACATGACATACAAACTCATCATAGATACAAGGATTAAAATTTTGTACGCCAGACACACGTTTCGTCTACAAAAGACTCTTCAATGATGCTCGTCGCCAAAATATTTGAAAATTCAAAACGTATCAAAAAATCGAAACTCTTATCGAAAAAGGACTTTCTACCAAATTATTGAGTCAGTAATTGGAAGAAATGAAACGATCACAATAACAACAAAACCATACTGATAATAAACTCTCAATATAAAATAAATTCAAAGGTTCTTTCATCTCAGCTTATATCTTCTTTGTGGCATTCAGTGTTGATACCAAACTGGAACCGGTTAACAATTTACATTTAATCAAACTGTTGTTTTTATTTTGAGCCTGTTAAAATATTAAAATGGTGCTTACATAAAACATGATATACAATAATAAGAAAATCCGCTTTTTACTCACAGGAATGAACTTTCAAATGGTAACATGAAATACAGGTATAAAGATACCTAATTTTGCAAGTGTCCTAATGATTCTTTATGATAGTATCATTGATGAATATTTCATGTACAGAAATATATATATATCTGTTGTAACTACTTTAAGACGAGCCTAACTTACATACAAGTAACTTTGGTATGGAAATAATTTTATTCAATTTTCAATCATCGTCGTCATTTGTGAATACATATTCGATGATGGTCAATCAACTCGTGATGGCATCCTTAAATTTTCGAAGTTGTGACCTTAACTTCACCACTCGGAACCATTCGTTTGTAATAGCTTCCTTTTAAACATCAACCCTCTATCAAGAAAATCATAACAGAAAAGTAAGCTTTAGAATATAGAATCAACTTAGGTACATATTCTATATGCAGGCACTTCTAGGATGTTGCTACATAGAAAATGGAAAATTCACAATTGGGAACTGCAATCCCCTCCTTTATCGTAAACTTTTGTCAATTTGTAGATGTAAGTCAAGATATGAGGCTGTTTTAATTGTATCTTCTGAATCCTTTTACACAACAACGTCATAATAGTACAGGAAACACGATATCTTGCATTCCCAGAAGTAATATTCTTCAAAATTTCCTGTACCAAAACATGAATGTGGCAGTCAATTCGTTCGTTCCGTTTGTTGATAAAGTTTATTTTGTCAGTTTTAATGGACGTCACCTTTTTGATTTGGAGTTATTTGTTATAACTTTCTTTGTATATCAGTGAATTCTTTATTTTAGAATAAAAATAATTAGACCTGTGAGATATTAATTCAGGGTAAATTGGTCCTACATCTTTCTTTCAAATTGCATCGTTACGTATTTACTTGACTGAATATAAGAATTTTTAACGTAAAATTGAAGGCATGAATAAAATATACACTCATATGACATTAAGATACAGATATTGACAGAATCCGTTTACACTCAAACATTTAACGACTTCATATCCGTGATTATTCTTTATCATACTTTATTATTGAAATTGACAAGATTTAATATAGTAAACAAAAGTAGTCAAATTATTATTGGTTTTCCCATAGTTCAAACTAGTCGTTATCGTTTTACGAACAAAATGTATTTAGATAACTAAACGGCTATGTTAATCAAACCAAGGGTAGATCTTTGGATAATGATATATCTTATCGTATCGTGTAATTGAGTAATAGTGTTAAAATATAATTTGGATACGGATATATTTTAACGATTTAAATATATAATTGTTAATCTATACATTGTTTCACATCTTTAGCTTATTTCTTTTATTGACACCCATTTTGGTATTTCGTATTACTTTTATGCCGACGGTTATATCATTGTGATGACAGAAGTGAACATATCGTTTACGTTCGGCGAAAGTAAGATATACAGAAATTTAACATAAAGACAAAACCTGGCGAAAAGAAAACTTAAGGATGTTCGCTCCTCTGTCATAAAATAACATGGTTCGTAAAAGACTGTTATAAATTGAAAGTATATAAATAACATACTTAAAAGAAGAAAAAAATAAAAGGTCCGTGTCCTTGTTTTTGCGATATAAGCAATCGAAAATTTGACGGGAAATTATTCTCTCTAGATTTTTCATTCATTTAACATAGGCACCTATTTTCTTTTAAACACAATGAAAAAATAACAAGGATTTTTTAAGGTTTTCAAAAATGTCTTTTTAAAACATATGCAATAAAATTATGAAAAGAAAAGTAGGTTTTAGCGGGCAAAAGTTTGAATGACACTACAAGGATAAAACTAGAGGATTCCGAATATCTGACAAAAAGTCAAAAACAAGAGTAACGAACATCCTCAAGTGTAAAAATTGAGAACATTACAACAAACCGTTCTCTTTTTATGCATTGCAAAAACAATCAGAATCAGTGAGTACACCCCAGTTTACATCATGCTAAATTCGTGAAAAGAAAGAAACATTGCGAAAAAGGAGGCAAAAGAAACTAAAGGGACCTAAGTCGAAAACAAACTGTCAACGCCACGGAGAAAGATAAAATTACGACCAAAAGTAAAACAACAGTACACAAAACACAACATCGAAAACTCAAGACTGAGCAACACGCAACACACCAAAAAACCCAGGACGATCTCAGGTGCTCCGGAAGGGTAAGCAGATCATCCGCCACATGATGCGTACTATTATGTAAATAAAAGTACACACACTGTTTGATAGAAGCATTATCTTACGCATCAATTTCATCTATTTGATTTGTATTTTGACGGCCGTTTTATCATATTTAGAAAAAAATTGTATTTCTCTGCAAAATTGTCCGATAATGCTAATGTATCTTTAACAATCACCAGTTAATCAATTAGCTTATTCTATATCAATATAAATGCATAAGCAAATAATTGCTGTTAATCTTAAGAGGCCATAGAAGTTTAATGAAGGTTAAAATTTCGTAAATTCATGTTGAATATACAAACTAAGAAAACCCCGAAGGAAATCGTTTGAAATTTGGAATAAAAATGTGAAAATAATGCTGGTTGATTAATAAACACTTTACTTAAACATTTGTTCGTTCTCGAAAACAAACATTTACCTTATACGGATTTGCTTTAATTGTTTTTTTTTTAAGATTTCACAAAACTCCTGATCATTTGTACTAGGATTTAGATTTTTGAATAGTTTCGTCTCGAGCATCACTGTCGGGATATAAATTATCGAAATGTGTATCTGGTGCAATAAGGTGGTGTTGTAAATTTATAACTCTGTTTTATATGTATGAACATATGGAGATATTGTATGATTACTAATTAGAAAATAGCCGTCAAAGACCGAATTAGATTAAAGATAAATATTTTGAAGGCGTTTTCAAACAAAAATTTCCTATACATCTGCGGCTTACAATGGGGTTTAATGCACTTTGCCTTGAATTTTTTTTATTCGTTTCATTTATATTTCTGATTTTGTTCATTAACTGCTTATGTGTTCTTATAATTATTAAAATAAATTTCCTATTCATTTAGACCCTCGTACAATTGGAAATTTTACACTCATTCAAATCGTTCAAAGGTTGATATTTCGTAAGTACATATTTTGTCAATTTCTTAATGTATTATTAAAGTATTTGTTCACAACAAGAACAATGTCAACCGAAACACATGTAGCGTACCATACATGTACTAACGATCCAAAATATACCCAGTATAATATAACATTTCAAGAAAAGGAAACCTTAAATGAAGACTACGGAATATTCAAAGAAAGTGATGATAAATTAAAAGATGATCAACCCGACAAAACTTGGCAATTCCAGGACAGCAAAGATATGCAAACCAGTAGAAATAGATGGAGATTTGGAACGGTATTGTTTATACTAACGACAGTTTTGTGTTTGGTAGTAACAATTTATTTTGCTACATCATCCAGCTCTAACAAAAGTGAAAATTCACATGGTAAGTCAAATGATATTCAGTACTCTACACCTTTTCTCCTATTTATGCAACTATGGATTGTTCAATCTTTCCAAAACTGTATGACGGTACCTCTTGTTGATCACTATCAAAGTCTTCATACACTGCCTTAAATCTCAAACTGTATATTATTTGGTCCAAATATGTACGATATATGAGGAAGAACTTCATCCAAAAAGATATATTTTACGCACATTAAGATCTTTGTAAAATACTTTTTTTGTAGTAAAATAAATTGCTCATATCTAAATATAATAATATAAATGGCACCAATTTTACAGCGCCAGATGCCCATGTAAATGACTAGATCTCAACATGAGGCTATTGTGGCAGTTTTTGTTGATTTGGACCAAATATAAGAACTTGGAATCCCTAATGCCGATATACAAGACAAAATTCAGAAATTTTTATCAAGTTTTTTCAACATCTGAAGGATTCATTAAACTTCTTCATTTCCGAATTCAAAGAGCCAAAATATGACCTTATTATACGTTCTCTTTACGAAGAAAACAAAGGTTTAATTCCCACTGGCAAAGTTAACCGTAGTTGAAGTTTGGCTAATTATTAAAGGTCTCCTTTGCTGATAAAGTTTAAAAGCGTGTCACCGTATTAATACACCTTCAGCTTTCAAATATTTGGGTAACAGAGTTCCTGGATAAGAAATATTAAAACAACTCGCTTCGGACGCATCGACATTTATTCAGTTTTATTTATATTTACATCAAGGTGTTAAATCTTTCTCCCATAACATTGCATACAAAATTTCAACTCTGATGTCCTTGATAAAACAATTTTGCCTGACCTTTCTTCAATGAAAATAGATTCTCCTTAAATCAATCCATAAATAGTGTCAGACCATTTTATGACCTTTCTGATTACATACTATATGTACTGCAACGCAACCACTTGCGTCAATCACATAATTACATATTTTTTTTCTGCAAGAAGGGGGCGTTGTTAATCACAGACCAACACTTTCGGATTTTGAAATTAATTTATTTTTTTGTTAAAGGACACTCAAGTTTACAACGAAAGACGGAAGATCTTACCAAGACTAAAGGATTTACAGAGACGAAAGGTTATACAACTAGAGGTATAGTATGAAGTACATTCTTTGAAATGTTCTTTTCCTTCACTTCCAAAATTGTGTTAAGAGAGACAACAACTAGACTGAATTATTTTTGCTTAATCTCATATTGCTTTCATTGCATTGTTTTAGTCTCATATTTATAGCTGATTAATTAATTATTGTTTCCCAATGACAAAATAAAAAGCAAATGATACTTGTACAACTCCGTAGGCATTTAAATATGATATGACAGTTGTTTTCCATTCGTTTGATGTGTTTGGGCTTTTGAATTTGCCATTTGATAAGGGACTTTCCGTTTTGAATTTTCCTTGGAGTTCGGTATTTTTGTTATTTTACTTTTTTTCAAACATGGTCGACTTTCTAAACTTGTTCTAAGAGAAATTTCCAAATGATGTAAGATGACTTTTTATTTGACAACGATGATCGACAGCATCATGAAAAACTGAATTTATTTGTAATATCAAACACAATGCTAAGAATTCCCCTTATTAACTTTCAGGCCGATATCAACGATTAAATGAAAATATCTGGACTTATAAAAACTCATATGTGAATACACAGCTATGTTCGATTAGAGTTATTAACTCCCAAGACTTTGCATTTGAAATGTTATACAAAGGTCAGGTTCGGCGCTGTTATATCTGTTTCAAAGCAACACTTTCATTCGTAAATGCCAATCAAACACTATGACATTCAATTGGCAATTGATCCGTTGAAATTTGTTTGATAAAATATCCGAATAAATGTGAATATTAAGTTTTTTTTCATCACGAATTCTCAATAAGAGAATAAACAAGTAACTTTGCCATTGTGTTAATATCCGCATGTCGGAGGATGCATGCAAACAATAGACATTTACCCTGTCGAAGCATCCGGTCTCAATCCGATATCAGTACGTGATCTGTACCTATTTTGGTGTTTTACCTCGATTTGTATCTTCTTAAAGAATTTATTAGATTCGAACATCGGTAAACTACAGTCACATATAATTGATATCAGCTTAAATCAGGCAATTATGTTTTTTCTTTCCAATTTGACGTTTCATAATTAAAAGCATTCTGGGTAACATTCTTAAAGGTGAACACCAAATTGTTGTGAAAAATTCAACTAATTTATGATTAGATATACAGTATGGGTTTTGCAGATTGTAATTGACCGGAATGTTTAATGTAGTTTTAATTTACCTCCTTGTCCTTTGGTGTATGCTAGATTATAGTCTCATAATCACATAGCCTTTTTTTACATTAAATCGTTAATAATGCATTATTTTATTACAGAAGACGCATGTGTCAGTTCTCCGTGTTTGAATGGTGGAACTTGTATAACAGCCGGATGTAGCTACTACTGTATATGTCAAGATGGTTTCACGGGATACAAGTGCGGAGGTAATTCTGATTTAAACCTTTAATCTGATAATGTTTTCGACATAAAAGGAAGATTTAAGTTAATGCCTGTTTACATTTCTCGTTCTGCCTTTCTGTACCCTGTATGATAGCACCTTTGTATACACTCTAGATAACTTCTTATGTTCCTGCCCTTAGACAGACGTTCAATGTTAAAAAAGAAAATAAAGTGCAAATGTGTAAAAACAATATTTGAAAAATGCAACAGCAATAGGTGGATTAAATAACATTTTAATTCTATGGACATGTGTTAAATAGTTTTAGGTTTATCATAAGAATCTTTGACATTCACATTCGAACGATTTTGCAACTTTAAGATGTTAACCCTGCAATCTAAGCGAGTAAACAGTAAATTTCTTCTACCTCCTTCACTGACGCCAGCACAATAATTCTAGAGATAATAATCTGGAAAGTCGTAATGGTCTATCATTTATAAATTTATTATTTTATTGATGTCCATATTCATAGAAAAGGAAATCAGTGACATTACTACCTATCGTTGAAAAGTTGTTACCCTACTGGAACAATTGCATTGGGTCTTGTTTTAGTGAGGTTAGACCTTAATCTTAAAGTTTATGCTAAGTTTTATGTAAATTATTGTTTAATTTCATGATCTTCTCTGTTTCCTATAATTGTTATGATGCCTTTCTTGGGTGACTGGTATTTGTAAATTGCCTGTTTCTATTTTCAATACGTACTTATCTACTTATAATCTACTTATTATTATCGACTGTCAAAAGTTTGACTAAAACAGAAAATAAGATAAAAATAATTGTATTGGTATTCTTTTTGGGTATTTTCATAATTCGAATAAACAAGAGAGGCAAAAGATACCAAAGTTGCATTTAATTTACGAATTATATTATAAATCAATTGCAATAGTTATACCGATGTTGATGCAATATTCGTTGGTAGGGTCGAAAGCTCACAAACAAATTTACCCCCAGTCGCATTTTTCACTGATATTCAAATCCCATTTGGAAAATACAAAGCAAGGAGAAAAAGCAAAACGTGAGGGAATGAAGAGAATTTCAAAAGGAGCGAGACAGGGGCATCGACAGGGAGAACTTATCCTGGTATGCATTATCACTAGCCATGCGAATTTCAATCCGTCAAAATATCACAATATGACACAATCGGATACACGACTATTTTGGTATCTAATGATCTAAGACTGCAAAAACATGTCTCCAGTTAGATGATGTAAGGACGTCGACCGTTTCTGATCATATCTCCACCATGTTTTGATTTTTAAGCTATATTGGGAATAATTAATTGAAAATATTACACGTACTTTTACATTAGATACCAAAGTTATAAAATTAACTGGATATATTTTGTTTGTTATATGAAAATGAAAAATGACAATAAACAGTCATTTGAATAAAAATTGTCTATTTACTTTTTTGAGGTTATTTGTAAGATTATATGACATGAATTTGGAAAGTTAAATATCTTTAAACAACTGCTATATTGAAATGTCAAATGATGAAAGACTACTATATAGTATAAGTAATATAAGTAATATATATATATATAATTATATTTTACAAATACGGTACAAGTGGTAATTTCCAACACGATTATGTTACCACTTAGGAACAACAGTTTAACACTTAATGTCATTGAAATGCTCCGTGAGACAGTCTTCTTAATTTAACGCTGTCTAATTGCCTCAAGTGTTTACGTGGATTGCATCATTGATACAGAAACAGTAACAAACAGCTTGACACATTTCATCTTGATAACATAAAACAAGAAAAACCAGATGTATATGTACGTGAAAAATGACTAGGCCTAGCCTCGAAAAGAGTTAAGTGGAACAACTCACATATTTGTTCGAAAAATTCATCGTAGATTTACATTAATATACCAATATTTAGTTCCAGATCATTTTATATCCATCTCCGGAAAAACCCAAAAGGTAAAATTTTCATAACATTTTCTCAGTCCAAAGGCTGTCAACCGAACCGCATCAAAAACATTACCTGTACGTTATCGATGTACCAACGAAAAAAAATGTTATATTTTAGAAAAAACGAAAGAACTGACATAGTTGTTAACTTCTACGTCTTGGAGAGTTGTCTCATTGGCAATCATACCACATTTCCTTATTTCTATATGGATAACACTAAATGCTCACCCACTTACTGGTAGAGCCACACAAACTTTAATTTCTTTTCAAAGGGAACCTTCATATTGTCCAACAACATACAACAATGTCATTGAGTTTTTTTCAACGTTTAACATTAAACTAATGCTTTGCTCAATATTAAGTTGATTTTAAATCATTCGTGATGATACTGATTGCTAATCAACTTTTGACTTCATTTTATTCTAATTTTGATTTATATCTAGTATAAGCTTTCTCCTCACCATAGAAATAATGTTTTATGTTGTCTAATTGAACTTAAAAGAGTAATTCGAGTGGGTAAAATCCAAGTCTATGGTGCTAACCAAACTTTTGGTAATCCTTCACTAGGATCTTCAACAATGATTAAAACCCATAACGCATAGTCAGCTATAAAAGGCCCCGAAATCACAACTGTTAAACAATTCAAACAAGAAAACTAACGGCTTGATTTATGTACCAGATAATGAACGAAAAACAACTATATGATATACAGCAACAAACGATAACCACTGAATTACAGGCTAGACCATTATGACCAAAAGGAAACATAAAATTTCAAACAGTTTGACGTTCAAACGGTGCTTCCGAATGGTAAAAATAATTTAATTTCAAAAGTTCAAAAAATGTAACTTGCGGGAAACTTGTACAATCACGTCAGATTCATGGTTTTGAAAGGTCCGTTAGATTTTTGTCATATTTAAAATACTACAAAACATCCTTCCTCCCAACTTATTTCTGTGACGATATAACTAGTAAATATATTTCAATTCTGAAAACGTATGTCACTGTCGAATATTATGTTTCGCGGTTACAAAATCAATTCTTATTTTAAAGATCAAAGAATATTAAACACATGGTTTAGAGTTTTAAATCGAAAGATACACATCATCTGTTCAAATGGAAAGTGAATTCTGACACTGAATTATATATTTTTGGATAAAACAAAATAATCCTTATTTTCGGAAGAAATCCCGAAATATAGCCTGTTATAGAAACAATACGTTGACTTATCTTTTTACAGTATTTGCTTGAATTACCTCGCCACAAAATGTTTCGAAAAAATTAACACGTCAAAATTAGTATGCTGTTTGGTCTTTAAAGCCTATTCTAAACATTTTTCTATTGTCCAACGACCGACTATATTATCAGAATTTGTTGACATTCAAAGATCACTTCAATTGACCCTAAGACATTCTAAGAAATCAGAATCTTGTAATTCCTGTTTATATATTTCAATTTAGACTTGTTTATATTTTTTTGTTTGGGCTTGTAGTATATTTGCCTTCAGGTTTATATAATCTGTTCATCCTATTTCGACTCTTCAAAATTCAAGAGTCCAACATAAATTGAGGTAAATTATATGGCCTTCCAAATACCGTTTCGATTCCTAACATCACTGAAGAGACATTAATTGTCGAAATCCGGATATGGTGTACCAATTTCGGCACTTCATGTTTGCGGTATACCATCTTTTCCGCAAGTTTATTGTTTTCTGTTTGGTATTGAATTAATAATTAAGATCCATTTTGTTACATCTAGCGATCCGTTTATTTCACAATCGCCAATTACAGTCAGCAGGGTTTAAGAACATCCGTTGTTCGACCTGCTAGTCAAATGCATTTTGTTAAAATATACCTTTTCACTGTTTTGGTCTTTTGGAAAATATTGTTTGTGCTGTATTTAGACCCCTCCATCAAGAAATTTGTTTTGCATGCAAACGTATCAAAATTGCGATTTTAATCCAACGCAATCATAGGTTTGAACGTTGTTTTCAATTTAGACTTGTATATAGATATAAGAAGATGTGGTATGAGTGCCAATGAGACAACTCGCCATCCAAGTAAAGATATAATAAACATGTGAAAGCTGTCTCACAGGCAAACAACCCATAATTGAAAAATATATCGTATATATATATATAAGAACATATGCAATGTTATCTGATACACACTTTAAAGTATAAAGTAATAATGCTCTCTGTTATTATTACAGTGACACCATGGACCACCATGCATATGTCCCTAAATATAATAAGGTCTAATACAAAATCAAACATTGTAAGTTACGATGTTCTATGTTATCATTACAGTGACACCATGTACTAGTTCACCATGTTTAAACAACGGAGAATGTAACATACAAAATGATACATACCGATGTGATTGTCCTGTTGGTTTTAATGGATCTGAATGTCAAGGTAAATATACATAAACGGACATATAGCATACAAAATAAAACTTCTAACTGAGATTGTCTCGTGGCTTAATTTTGATCTGAACATAAAGGCAAATATAGGTAGACTCAGCTGCTGCATACAAACATCATGTTCACTATGGCTATTTTGAATCTGAAAGTTAAGTTAGATATATATTGGAGGGGATTTTAAACACGAAATGACATCTATTTCTTCTACTGTCCTTCTGAATAGACAAAATCTAATTCTCCATGTTGGTATAGGTAGATGGATGCAGCATACATGATCCTATATTTCGCCCTGTTTGTAAATAAGAAAAGAGGGACGAAAGATACCAGAGGGACAGTCAAAACTACAGATCGAAAACAAACTGACAACGCCATGGCCAAAAATAAAAAGACATATAGACTAATAATAGTACAGATGACACAACATAGAAAACTAAAGACTAAGCAACACGAACCCCAACAAAAACTGGGGGTGATCTCGGGTGCTCCAGAAGGGTAAGCAGATCCTGCTCCACATGTAGCACCCGTCGTGTTGCTTATGTTATTACAAATCTGGAAAATAGTCTAATTCGGTAGGTCACATTCGTGAAAAGGGAAGGGTATTGTAGTTATGACCTGGTCTTCGAGATATATTAAAAGGAGCTAATAAATGCGTAGCTCTGTTTAACATGAATAGGTATAGCAAAGTCCATGTTTCGCTGTTTTGTTTTTGTGAATTGAAAAATATAAAACCAGTTGGCACAAAAATATACCAAGCCTGATCTAGGTGCTGATACAAAGTGCTGATAGACGAATTCACAATCGGAAACAATAAATTAAGACGGCATTAGTTTACCGATGTTCGTAAATAGTTTAGGAAGAGGTATATCAAGATAAGAAATAGAAACTGAGGAAACTGCATTTCTTCCAAAAGGAGCAAGACCTAGGTGAGTCGACAGGGAAAGGGTATATTGCTATGGATGCATCAACCGCAATGTAAAGTCACATTCAGAAAATATGTCCCAATCAGCAATAGGACACAATTGGTAAAACTACAGATCACATGACTTTACTATTATCTTAAATATAAGACCGCGAAAACATAGTGCGAGTGCGTTTAGTCACCGACAGATCGTATCGGTTAACCAATTCATTGAAATCCGATTAAAAAACAAAGACTTATTTCCTATTAGAGTTAATTGATACTCGAGCAGATAGCGTTGTTATGATGAATATGATACATAAAAATGATATGCATTTCTAACACAATTAAAAGCACATGTTTTTCTCATCATAATTAGTATAATAGACCTCGTTGTGCCTTCTTTTAAGCATTCGTAGTCATTACCCGGAGGTAATTGGAACAGTTTTCAGAACAATGATTGTTATATTTTTCAAAATTTTAGGAGGAATTTAACGGTTACATATTTAATGTTCATACTTTGAATTTTATCTGGAAAATATATATTGTTTTGAGATAGATTAATGTGTTTTTCTTTCAGAAACACCGTGCTCTGTGGAACCCTGCTTCTACAATGGCACATGCACTGTACTTGGGAATTCATTCAACTGTGCGTGTACGAATGGATACAATGGATCAAAATGTGAAGGTTGTAAACTATATTATAATGCCTAACAAGGTTTGGTGAGGTAGACAATTTCGGCCTTAAAATGATCAAATTTACTTTTCTGTACAATAATAGGCATATTGGTCATATTTGCACCTCACCGCTTTCAGTTTGAATGCTTAAAGCTTAATAAGACTGAAAAATGCTATTTTCTGCTAAGTCTCACTAGCTTTTTACCTTGAGTACACGTGTGTACAATATATTGCAATGTTTTCTATGAAGTTTTAACTTTTTTCGAAAACTTAAAACGTATCATCGCAAATTTCCAAAGAATGCGCTATTTTATACAGTATCATTCTCTTTATTACGAAAATTTTAAGTATAAGGGTCTTGATTGGGGTCCATATTTCTGTCTTCTTCTAAATTTGTACTTCATTTTTCTATAATTAATTTAGCTAACACTGCATTCTCTACTCTTAAATCCCCATTAAGAGCATCAGGTATAAGAACATTGTTTTATCATATTTATATGACTATAACGTTTAGTAAAGAAGAAAGCCAGAAAACTAAGACAAATCATCAGTAAAATTGTTTATCGACAAGCAAGAGGAATTTCATAATTTCTTTCAGAAATTTTAACTTCAGATCTAGAGTTGTCATTCCTGTCTTTATAAACAGTTATTGTTACGTTATACAAGTTCACGTTATGATCTAAATACAAGTAAAATTGAAATAAAATAACGTTTTCCAATAAAGCCGATTTATATGACAATGACCGGTCCATACGAGAATAAGTGTTAGGGGTGAATTGGGTAAGGAGAAAATTATAGATGTTTTAATACAATTTCTTGTAAATACTACAAATAATCGCCCAAACCTTTGTCAGAATTGTAAAAACCTATATGTCTGTATTGCCATTTGTTTTTCAATCTGTAATTAGCGTATTTATAGCAATAAAAAGTTTGGACTTAAAAAAAATCAATAGATGTGTTGACTTCACACAATAAGTTCGCCTTCTTAAAACGTTAATTCATTAACACTTAATACACGGATACGTTGCAATATCATTTCTTAAAGAACTGCAAACACTTTTATTCTAGTTAATTCAGTGGAATTGGTTATAAAAGGTGGTTAAGTGAACCATGTAATATCAAACATCAATTTCCCTCACAAAATCTTAGCACAAACTATAATCGAAATGCGTTGATGTCGAACTTGGTTTGTAATATCATGTATGTCCGGACAACAACGTTCAGTTTTCGTAGAAAATATTATGTAGCATAACGAATACATTACATAACAGACATGATGATAGCTCATTGAAAAAAAAAACCATATTTATTTTGGTTTCTGGATGTTAGCTTTTGTTACCATAGTTCCAACTTTTAACAGACTTGTAACAACAATGCCCTATGAGAAAGATTCCTTTTAGTGTTGTTTTGGTCAATCGGTCAACCGTCAAGTCCAAATCATCTCTCCGTTTAAACTAAGTACATTGATTTGACTTTTTACGTTTAGTGCAGTAATGAATGAATGTATTCGTATTACCAGGATATAAGACCATAACGAATGAATGATTGATGTTTCTATATTTTCGGATTGGTTCCTGCAAGTTCTAGATGGAAAAAGAAAAAGAGATATACCAACCAGTACGATCTATATTTTGGAAAATTCGAATAATGAGACTACTATTGGAAAACTATTAACCATGGTCCAGCACAAAATTCTACTCCTGGGTTGTATGGAACAAGAATAATTTGGCGTTTTCAACATGTGTCTGGGAGTTTAGGTTCGAATTTGATTTGGCGTATTTATAAATCGCAGGGTTATTTTAATGTCTGCTAATTACGGAAATAATTGTCCTAGTAAGAAGTCAAAGAAGCAACAATTCGAATCCCGATAGATCCTTGGATTTTGATAGAATGATTCCACTTCATTACTTCTATTTTCTTTTGTTTAGTCACACCATGCCTCAGTTCACCGTGTTTAAATGGGGGAGCATGCACACCAGCTGGAAGTACTTATATTTGTTCTTGTCCAACTGGTTACTTTGGAAACCAATGTCAAGGTTTGTTACGTTGAAATATTTTATTAATATTTTGGTCAGAAGAGGGATTGATTGAATTCACGATGGGACAAAATATACAAACACGAACTTTAAAAGATATCAATTATAAAAACTTCAATTTTGGTTTTAATTAAAACATATATGACACTGTTGTTAACAAAAAGTAAATAACAAGTGGTAGTAGGTACCAGCAGTAGGTAAATTTTGTACGTATACAAAGGTATATAAACAATTCATCAAAAGTGCCAGTAATTACAAATTAATCATAACTTTTAGAAAGAGAACGAAAGAAAAAGAGGAAGGAAAGAACAGTTAAAAAGAAACTACCTAAAAATCTTAAGAATGAACATTACGAAAAAAAACAAGAACAACAAAACATAGGTGTGTTACATTCGTCTCCGTAGTTAATGCTAAATACATTTATTTATTGAACAGTTAACCGTTTTGTCAGATTCTTGTTAATGCCCAACCAAAAAAAAATCACTTTATTTGCTTAATGTGATCGCATTGCGTGAAAAGATATTTCCATTTTTCAATCTGTCAATAATTATAGCGTTTAAATTTTGATATCTATGAATTGCATTTTACAGTTCAAAGTTCATGCCAGTATGGCTGGAAGATGCATGAAAACAAATGTTACTACTTCAGCAATATCAACAAGAATTGGAATGGTGCCAAGGTGGGGAAGATTTATTTTTATTAAGTATATACAAATAAACTTTGAAAAAATCTGTATTATTATATTTTTATAGGTCGCTTATTGTGTATCACGATATTCTATTTTTTGCACAGAAAAAAAAACAAAACAACAATAAATTTATACCGGAAATAAGTAGTTCGAAAATCTTTACTTACAAACCAATCTTAAGAATTGCGGTTGCAAAAACACTTGAAACTGCAGCCCACATATCCTGACTTTTGTGTGGCTGTATCTAATAATTCGGAAGTGTAGGTCAATTTTTTTTTCAAAATGAGGGAAGAATACTACAAATCTCTGAAATAGTATCATTTTAAAACGAACGGTTGTAAAATGTAAACACGGTATAAACACAAAGTTACCTTCATTTATGAACAAGGTGTATTGTCTGTATCATTCAAGGAACCGCTATTGTTTTTTGTCTGTTTGTCTTTTTATGTGAACTATGTTTCTCCTACGGTTAGGTTTTTGTAAATGCAATGAATTTATCACAGTTGTTCAACATTGACGGGCAATGATTCCCTCCAGTGCTTTTATACATTTAATGTTGGCAACTTTTTTATCATTCAAAACATAGTAAAATATAACAAGGATTTTATAAGATATTCAGAATTGACTTTAAAAATATTTTTGATAAAATGATAAAAAGAAAAGAAGAAATTAGCGCGCAAAATGGTTTACGGCACTTAATTAAACCAGAATATTCCAAATATTTGACCCCCCCCCCCTCCCCCCCCCCCCCCCCCAAAAAAAAATAAAACAAGATCAGCGAATATCCTTAACATCTTTTTTTCAGATTGCATGTAAAAAGCTCAAAAGTATGCTTGCAGAACCTAAAAAGATGAGTGATATTAGCTTTCTTATCTCAAAGGCGAAAAGGTACCGGAAAAGTATGTATACTTTAGGTCTTTTTTTCGGTGATACAGCTCTTCAATTATTTTGGTTCTTATAAATCCATGGCTTTCAAATATTCGTCGCTGAGCGTTTCTGGTGAAGGATAATCCAGACAAGCGTGATCGACACATGAAATCTATGAAGTGTTAACATTGTTTTAATTGTTTGATATCCTTATCTTCATATCGACTAGTTTTGAACTTTTCTAAACACTTCTATTTCTTATAATCGGTTAAAATCTCTTTCCATTTGTTTTTGATTGCTCAATGTCTTTGGGCAAAGATCGGATGAATAATGACAAAAGCATATTAAAGCAAACAAAAAGATAAGCAAAGAAAGATCAGTACAGTGGTTGTTTGAATTTTATTTGATTGTTGATTGTTGCACAACGCCTAGTTTGATATATTTCTTGGTAATCAAGACGAACACACATTACAAAAACAATTCAATATGTAGATTTTGAAAAGTGGTTCGACTGGGATGAAAGCGGGAAATATGGACAGCCACTGGAAAACTTAGAAAATCTTTTGATATCGTTCCCCCAGATCAAATGATATTTATTTCATGAACAAAACTAAAATTATAACATATTTTTCTTTATATTTATTTGACTGATTTAGTACGCCAGACGCGAGTTTCGCCTACATAACACTCATCAGTAGTGCTTGAATCAAAACAATTAAAAGTTTAATGTTATTCTCCAAACACTTTTTGTGCGTACTGTTTATAACACTACCACTGGGTCGGTTCTATTGTTGGTGGACAGTCATCCATTGAGGTCACCATACGTTTATTACACTATCACTGGGTCGGTTCTACTGTTGTTGGACAGTGATTCATCCAGAATACAAAACGCCAGCACTTCGATACATTCAACATTGAAATGACAAAATGTTATGCTAAATTAACATTTTCTGATCAATATTTGCCGCTAACGTAAACAAATGTGGATCACTCTTCAACGTTTGTATTAGGTTTTGGACTTTATATATTTTAGCCTCATCACTGAAGAGGCATAAATTATCAAAATGCACATCTGGTGCAATAAGATTAGTACCGTTAATGTTATTATTAAGTTGATCATCGTAGTAAAACCGATCAGTATCAAATCTTTCATTTAGTTCACATTTTCTTTTGTAATTAAAAAAAAACACGGTCAATGGCCAATGTCGTACGCGCTAGTGGTGAATTGTCAATACTCGAGAGAATTATACGCCGGCAGCCAGTGCTTCTGTGCTGTAAACAAACCCCAAATATTTCAGTTAAAATATTAGGCAACTGTAAAAAAAAGATGTATTAATATCATCAGCAAAGTTCACTTTTTATGATTTTTGCTGCTTAAACAAGGTATCAATTACTGTTACCTCTAATATGTTTCATAATGTTGCCCTCTCAAACAATCTTATCCATAAAGAATTTGCGCAATTTGATCAGTTTATGTTATTAATATCACCTCAATAACTATATTTTTGTGAATAGTGCTAGATAGGTTTGTTTCCTATTCTGACATCGGACTCGGACTTCTCTTGAACTGAGCTTTACTGTGCGTACTGTTGTGCGTTTGTTTTTTCTACATTGGCTAAAGGTATAGGGGGAGGGTTGAGATCTCAAAAAACATGTTTAACCCCGCCGCATTTTTGCGCCTGTCTCAAGTCAGGAGCCTCTGGCCTTTGTTAGTCTTGTATCATTTTTAATTTTAGTTTCTTGTGTATAATTTGGAGTTACGTATGACGTCCATTATCACTGAACTAGTATACATATTTGTTTAGGGGCCAGCTGAAGGACGCCTCCGGGTGCGGGAGTTTCTCGCTGCATTGAAGACCCATTGGTGGCCTTCGGCTGTTGTCTGCTCTATGGTCGGGTTGTTGTCTCTTTGACACATTCCCCATTTCCATTCTCAATTTTATTTCATACTTTCTGACATACCACGTATGAGACACTTAACTATAGACTTTCACATTAGTACACAACTCTTTTCATAAAATTATTACAATACACAAAATAAATAGTTGAACGTTCATTCTTAAAAAAAATCTTTCAGCTTTTTGGCTTGGTGGATCAGATCGTGCTAAAGAAGGTGTATGGGTATGGACAACTAGTGGACAGAATATTACAGTAACTGATTGGCATACACGCACTGTACGTGAACCGAACAATCAGAATGGAAACGAACATTGTCTGGACATGCATATAAACTTGGACTATGAATGGAATGATGACACTTGTTGGAATAGGAATAGATACATATGTGAAAAACCGTGAGTGTACTTTAAATTCATGTATATGTTACATTTGGTAATTACATAGGTTGTATTTTTTTTCAACGTAATTTAATCAATAGATATCAAATAGCGATATTCGAATACTCGGTCGGAAAAATATCTTCAAAATGGGATCACAATTGGTTTGTAAGTCGTTGTCTTATGAACACTAGACATCAATTTTATTATCTTAGTAGTTCCAAGAATCATATATCATACTTAATAACTCATGATCATTAACTACCTGTAATCATTGAGAAACACTAATATAATGAACAATTGATAAATACCTATTGAATAAAAATGACTACATAGACAATCCAGATCAGAGAGCAATTACATTTCGTAAACGTAATGAAAACAAATTTTAGAGGCATGATTATTGAAGTCACTGATGCGCTGAATCATTCAAATATCTGGGTACTTTATTAGTTTTTCAAACAGAACATTTCGGAGGCATCGAAATTACAATTTAGCAAAATCATACAAATCGTAAATGACATATCCAAGCTTATTGCGGTAAACATCATAATGAGAAAACGTCGATGTAAAGTCACGTAACGTAATCAGGGCATCTGTTATTGGATGTTAAATTATATCATGCAGTAAAGTTATATTTTTTCTTGACTTAAGAAAATTTCAATCTTATATTCAGATATAAAAACAAGTAGATTTTTTTTACGTTAATTTAATAATTTAGGATAAAATTCCGTTTGAAATTGCGTTCTCAATTCACACATCGCATTGATTTGAATCAAAAATAATTTCCAAAGGAGCCTGAAATTAAACTTAAGATAAGCATACGCATTTCAAAGTGTAGTTTTTATATTTTTCTCAAAATTTATTACCAATACTGATTACAGCATCAACATTAAGTTTTTGAAGTAAATCTTATTGTTTCACATTGTAAGAAAGAATATGAACAAATGATAGACATATATCGGTACATGCTAATCAAGCAAGTTTGGACCCCTAAAGTGTCTCATCCAATGTTCGTTTCTTTGGGGTTTTTTTTATCTATAAAGGCAACAGTAGTATACCGCTGTTCGAAATTCATAAATCGAATGAGAAAAAAACAAATCCGGGTTACAAACTAAAACTGAGGGAAACACATCAAATATAAGAGGAGAACTACGACACAACAGAAACACAACATTAAAATGTAACACACACAGAAACGAACTATAATATAACAATGGCCATTTTCCTGACTTGGTACAGGACATTTTAAGAAACAAAATGGTGGGTTGAACCTGGTTTTGTGGCTAGCCAAACCTCCCGCTTTTATGGCAAGGTTAAATATAACATTAAAAGGACAACATAACATGACAGGACTACAATACAAATAAATGGGAGAACATATAGGACAGAGAAACATACGAATAATAGCTAACAAAAGGTACCAGGTTTAAAATTTAAGACGCACGTTTCGTCCACACAAGACTAACCAGTGACGCTCAGATCAAAAACGTTCGAAAGCCAAAACAAGTACAAAGTTGAATAGCATTGAGGACCAAAAGTTCCAAAAAGTTGTGCCAAATATGGCTACGGTTATATGTCTGGGATAAGAAAATCCTTAGTATTTAGAATTAAGAATAATTCATACTTTTGCAAACAATAAATTTATACAAATGACTATATAATAGATATACATGATAACACCGAAGTGGTGACTAACTACAGAATAAAAACGGATACATAAAACAACATAAACCAGCTCATAAAAATTCACAGCCGAGTTAGCCAAAGAGATCAATGCAAAAAAGGTGACGTCACATTTGAATTTCTGAAATGTCTGTCGTAGAACTACATTAAGAGGATTTATGTGTTGTTGAAAGTTTCCTTGCATCCCCTTCACCAAACATGTCCTCATGTTGTTGATCATGCTGTTTGACTGTCTACTCTTACTCTACATTACCAGATCTTTGATTAAATCACTTCTTCTGGATACATGTACAAAATGTAATCACAATAAGATTATAGATGAACATTAGAAAGCATATTAAATAATACACAGATCCTTGATGATTTATTTTGTATATTGGTAATTACTTTCTTAGCATTGATGTAGTTTTCCTTAAGAGAAAGAAAAATATTTAAGTCATTATTATTTACATTGCAGATTTTGGGTACATTGTTTTCAGGGTGTTTTGAATCTATGTGTACTTCATAGAAATGCAAAAACTCAATTTGACCCTGGTACAAAAAAGCCTGAAAATCTCATGGCTTGTCACATATTACCTAAGATAAACCAATGCTTACTTTTTAGCTCTATGAGAGGCTTTTGTAGAAGGACTAGAAGGAAACCAATACTTTCGTATTCGACACTTGGTATTAAGTGCTAGTCTTTGTAAGAATCGAGCAATTTAGAAAAAAATCAAAACATGGCCGAAAAAACCCACCGACCTAACCATCATAGTTCGAAGGTACCCTTATCCTGAGTTAGAAATGGAAGGTCTTTCGTTTCTGCGTGTCTGGTAATTCGACAAATATCTAGATAAATTTTGGTTAGAATGATAGCAAATTACGATGTTATCTCCACTTAATTGTCAATTTCTAGTGCATTTCAACCAAATTATATCTTAAATAACCAGAACAGGGAAAGGAAACGAAGGCTTTAGTCATGCATCATTATACATTCTGAACTAAAATTAATGTAAAGCTGAGCGGGTTTTTGTTTGTCATGTTTTCAACACTGCCTGATTCTTAGGCAGATTGGCACTAATTGACATCCCTTATATTTTAAATCAAACTTCATATTATCTAAAAGTTTTCATAAAAGATATTACTTGTTTGGATTTTCTAATTCGCTTCGTCTTGTCTGATAATCGACATTTTCACGGGTTTACTAATAATTCCACAGGAGTACGCATCATACGCGCCTAATTTGTAACTTTGAATATAACAACTAAAGAGACAATCGTGAAGGGAACACATTAACTGCAATCGAATATACACCATTGTATTTGCCTATTGCACCACCCACCATTCTTATCCAAAACCTCATGACAGGTACCATAACACAATCGGTTAATAATAAAATCAGACGGCTATTATGGTGTCTTAAGGATGTTCGCTCCTCTTGTTTTTGATTTTTTGTCAGATATTCGGAATCCTCTGATTTTATCCATGTTTTTCCATTTTGTCCACTAATCCCTACTTTTCTTTTCATAATTTTATTACATATAGTTTAAAAAGCCATATTTGAAAATCTTATAAAATCCTTGTTATTTTTTCAATGTTTTTGAAAGAAAAAAGGTGCCAATGTAAAATGTATGAAAAATCTAGAGAGAATCATTTCCCGCCAAATTTCAATGGCTTATATCTCGAAAACAAGCACACGGAACCTTCTTTTTTTTTCTGCTTTTTTAGTTCCTTCATTTGTATACTATCAATTTATGACAGTCTTTCAAAAGGCTTGTTATTTTGAAACAGAGTAGCGAACATCCTTAAGATATTACACTGCAAAATATGTCTCACTTAATTCAATTTCTAATACAGTACACAATAAATACACAATAAATTCACAATGAATAAACGCCTATATCATTATAATTTTTATTTCAGATTGATGTAAACATTATGGCAACGAAAGAACAGACCACGTTGTGACATTTTATACAACAATTGTACATGTTACTCTAACGATTAAAGATATTGCTTTCGTTTAGCCTTCATCATGGTTATCTTTATCAAACAATGTTATCATAATATTCATGTATATATATACACAATTCCGGTAAAACGACTTTGAAATTGTATCACTCATATCAAATATTTTACTGCTAAACAATTATTATCCCAAATAGTGGAGTGGCGGAGAAGACAGTTTTAGAAATTTAGATTACCTTAATACCTAATAGTATATGATAATTCATCGGAAAGCTTAAATCGTGTACTTTTGGAAAATATGTGTCGTAAATATAAAACCTTGTGCCTTCATGTTTTAAATTCATGTCAAAGGTCATCATTAAAACAAATTCGTGTTTTCATCTACTGAAGCAAATCACTGGTTTTTTTCAAAATTTATCATCCATTCAATAAATTAATACAAGTAGTATTATTTATCAATGCTAACTGTCCGATTTAGATGTGTTTTATATTAGTGCATGACGTCAGAATAACAATGTGAAGGGTTAGAACGTGGAGTCACACAACTGCAAAATTACCGTCTGTCAGCTTTTGAGCAATTTCCGATTCTGCTTTGATGTTATTTGCGGCTTTAGGCGTCGACAATAGAAATGTCGATTGTAAATGATATGCTCGATTTATCTTGTCTATGTTGAGCAAAGAATGCTATGTCATTCATACTGAGCGTGCTACTGATTTCAAATTCTATTTTCTTGTTTAGCTTTTAAACAAGACCACCTGTAATGTCCAAATATAGTAGAATCAGCTTCTGTATCATAACAAAAATCATTTAAAAAAATAAATAAATCATCACGTCTCAATGCTGCAGCATTAAGCAGACATTTACCTTTAGATTATGTTGTTTCACTTTCATCAAATACATAATTGCAGATCATGCATTTGTCAAATCCAACAAAGGGCCTTTTCCTTGCATCGGACGGAGTAAGTTATATAAAAAAAAACCTATTGTACTCTTGCGTCAATATGCAACACACCTGACAACCAGACGCAACTAACAATGATTGTCACTTTCACGGTTGAATTCAACAAACACGACTAAACAACAATAGCTTACAGCATTAATATATCGCAAAGCTTCAGAAATTCTAAAGTTAATAAGAAATAGGCGTGATAATAACTACAAATTGCCTGCACAAAATCGCTTAATGTGGGCTATTACTAGAACTAGAACAGGGACGGTTCATATGTATCAAATATCCGGAACTGTAATTTTTATAAAATGAAGATGTTTAATCAATTATTTTGCTTATTACTAGTAAACACCAAAAAGTAAATTGGGGCGTTGAAGTATTATATGACGGGTTTACGGCTGTAACTTTAGAAATAGATTAATCTAGCTAAACAGCAGTGTAATCTTCGATGAGAGTTGGATAACGTCAGTTAAGGCCGTTTTTAACATTGTTGGCACTAAATTTGAAGTTTACGACAAAGATTTTTCTGAAGTTGAATAATCAATAGACATTTAAAGACATTAAAATTCCAAGAGGTATCAAGGTAATTTCAACTCGAAAACTTTTTAAACATTTGCGGCTCCACTAGAAAGGGTCATGGTTTAAAGAAACATGCATGACATTGGTTGTTTTGTCGGTATAATAAAGAAAAGCAATACTTAGATTACTGTGAATGAGTGAAGACATATGTAAATATTGAACAATCATAACATACAATAAGAAATGTTAGACTGATTTTGAATTTCATTTCAGATCAGCAAGTTGTTTGTTGGTGCAATGATGATATATTATAAGTACTACTAGTAATACAGATGTACATTTGAAAAAAAACTGTTGTAAATATCTTGTTAATTATACATGAAAATGAAAATAATCAATTGTTTTCTTTACGTCTACACGAGTTTATAGCTAGTCTATAGTCAAACTATAATAAACTATTAATAGATTGACTGTTGGTTATGTTTAAGCCCGTACAAAAATGCGGATAATACCAAATGAATATTCAAACTCAAAAGTCGATCACAAACTGAAAACGCAATGGTAAAAACGAAAAACGACCGAAAGACAAATAGATATATACAAACCACAACATAAATACATTAAGACTGAGCATCACGAATCACACAAAACACGGGATTGATATCAGGTAATCCGGAAGGGCGTAAAGATCCTGCTCGACATGTGTCATCTGTATCGTTGCTCATGTAAGTACACATTAGGTGATAAGTATAATTAGGTGATGTAATTCAATTTTAATATATAACGTTCATAACAAAGACAAATTTAACATCAAGTCAATAAGGACACACAGATAAATTTGAGCTGTCGCTGGAAAAGAAAGTATTTAAGTAATTAATTGGAAACGCGTATACAGGAACATTCCAAATGTCCACAAATTTACCGAACATTTTTGTGCACTTTTACTTCATGTGCCTCCAACGAATGCCCCATGTGCATGATTATTAGTCACAACAGGAACGGTTCAGGTTTCTAAATACACCTGTTCATAAGCACTTTTTAAACATTTTTTCCTGATTCATTTCCAGAGGTGCGATTTGGATGCAAGAGGTTTATACAGTGTTGTATTCATCTTATTTACCCTGGTCTTTATAATTTACTAAATTTGTACTTTATCGACTGCATGTACTTTCAACTTCAAAAAATATTTTTGTTAACGTCTTTGTCAAATTTACTATCATCTACAAAAATTTTGTTGTTGGCGTCTTTGTAAGATGTTTTAGTATGTTTGTTTGAATCTTTTTGTCAGTACCGTTGTATTTCTGTAATGTAAGTGTACACAGTTTAAGATGCTAGATCCCAATTATTGTCATATTAAACTATCATGTCTGTTTGGGTTGCTCACCCAATTTTCTCAATAAAACGAAACTTTGCACGACTGTCATATTAGAGAGAAGTTTACCTAGCTTTAAAACAAGATTAAACGCACCATTTTCATCTTCAACAAGGTCAAGGATATGATTTCCATTTGTTATGTTGCACGAGTTGATAAAGTCCAAAGTTCGATTTTGTCTTTTTTTATGGACTTTCTTTTTTTAGAATGCACGGTATTTTTGCTATATTTTTTCATTCCATTTTACAATAGTAATCATTATTGAATTCAATACAAATATAAATACGGAGATAGATAAGAAATGATCAATGTAGAAAGTGATGGTTTAATCACACAAATTTATTGATCTAAATTGACGACGTAGTACATATATATGAGCTGTTGAAGGTGATATCGTAGGAGTACAGCGAAAGAATGAAGTGAACAGATCGGATTCGTCTTTCAAGTTAATCTTTGTAACAGCAGCATGAAAGGACGCTTTTAGCAATATATTCTTAAACTTTAAGTACAAAATACACCAAAAGAGGTTTTAAAGCGTAACACAAAAGCTGCAAATTTGTTATATTCACATATAGCATATGCATTTTTTTGAAATTACAAACCTGACGCTAATTTCATTTCTAGATCCAAAACAAAATTATTATTTGGTGTTGCTAAGTCTTTAGGTTTCTATGTTGTGATTTGTAGACTGTTGTTTGTCTTTTGATCTATTTTGTTTTGGCATGGCATGGTCAGTTCGTTTTCAACTAATGACTTTATTTATCCACTTGGTATCTTCGGCCTCTTTTTAGCTCAACTGGCCCAAAGGGCCAAGTGAGCTTTTCTTATCACTTGGCGTCTGTCGTCAGTCGTCGTCGTCCGTCGTCGTCGTCCGTCGTCTCCGTCGTCGTTAACTTTTACAAAAATCTTCTCCTCTGAAACTACAAGGCCAAATTTGACCAAACTTGGCCACAATCATCATCGGGGTAACTTGTTTAAAAAATGTGTCCAGTGACACGGCCAACCAACCAAGATGGCCGCCATGGCTAAAAATAGAACATAGGGGTAAAATGTAGATTTTGGCTTATATCTCTAAAACCAAAGCATTTAGAGCAAATCTGACAGGGATAAAATTGTTTATCAGGTCAAGATCTATCTGCCCATAAATTTTCAGATGAATCAGACAATCCGTTGTTGGGTTGCTGCCCCTGAATTGGTAATTTTAAGGAAATTTTGCCGTTTTTGGTTATTATCTTGAATATTATTATAGATAGAGATAAACTGTAAACAGCAATAATGTTCAGCAAAGTAAGATCTACAAATAAGTTAACTTGACCAAAATGGTCAGTTGACCCCTTAAGGAGTTATTGCCCTTTATAGTCAATTTTTAACCATTTTTCGTAATTTTTTGATATCTTTTACAAAAATCTTCTCCTCTGATACTACTAAGACAAATTTAACCAAACTTGTCCACAATCATCATTAGGGTATCTAGTTTACAAAATGTCCGATGACCCCGCCCGCGAACCAAGATGGCCGACATGGCTTAAAAATAGTACATAGGGTAAAATGCAGTTTTTGGCTCATATCTCTGAAACCAAAGTATTTAGAGCAAATCTGATGAGGATAAAATTGTTCATTAGGTCAAGATCTATCTGCCCTGAAATTTTCTGACCAATCAAGCAACACTTTGTTGGGTTGCTGCCCCTAAATTGGTAATTTTAAGAAAATTTTGCAGCATTTGGTTATTATCTTGAATATTATTATAGATAGAGATAAACTGTAAACAGCAATAATGTACAGCAAAGTTAGATCTACAAATAAGGCAAATGACCAAAATTGTCAATTGACCCCTTAAAGAGTTATTGCCCTTTATAGTCAATTTTTTACAATTTTCATAAATTTTGTAAATTTTTGTAAATTTTTACAAAGTATTTTCCACTGTAACTACCGGGCCAAGTTCATTATTGATAGAGATAATAGTAAGGAGCAAGAATTTCAGTAAAGTAAGATCTACAAACACATCACCATCACCAAAACACAATTTTGTCATGAATCCATCTGTGTCCTTTGTTTAATATGCACGTAGACCAAGGTGAGCGACACAGGCTCTTTAGAGCCTCTAGTTATTATTGTTTTGTAAGATTTCAATGTCCATTATTGTCGTTAATTGATTAATATTAGCCCGCCTTTTGGTGACAGAAAGCAGGGTGTTTTGTAAGATTTCAATGTCCATTATTGTCGT